TTGTGTTAAGTTACCTCTTACCCTTCTGTGACAGGCTATGTCTGTAGGTCATTTTCTGAAACCAAGTTTGGGAAGTGGTCAAGTGCATCAAGGTACTGGCTTGGGTGGGATCAAAGGGGATCGGGGCTTCTGTTCCTCTGCGTTGTGCTTGGGGGCGGGAGGCAAAGGGTGCCTGGGAAGAAAGGGAACTTGTCTTGAGCTCTCTAGAAATAGGTATCGTTGTACGTAGCTTTGGAAAATCATCGAAATAATATTAATTGTAGACAGAAAGTAGAAAATCTAGATAGGCAAATAAGAAAAAGAGAAAGAAAACAGACATAGTCCCAATTCAAGGGATGAGGTGTTAAAAAAATTCATGTACATCGTTCCAGAGTTTTTTCTAGATATTGTTTTTTTATTCTTATGAAAAATCTAGGCATACAGTAATAGAAGAGTATAATGAATCTCCATATGCATATCATCCAGTTATAGCAATCAACATTTTGGCATGTTTGCTTCTTTTTTTTGAAGTATTTATGAGACGTGTTCCCTAAATATTTAAGTGTGCATCTCTAAAACATAAGGACATTTTTCCTGTTAACCATAAGACCGTAATCATAACTAATAAAATTAACCTAATTAATGTTATCTAACCCAGGCCGTGTTTAATCAGGCTTCCCCAGTTCTCCTCAGAATGTCTTTAACATTGGATCCAAGCAAAATCACATATTGCATTTGGTAGAACAGTCTTTTTGGTCTGTTTTAATGTATTCATCGATTCCCTCCATTCCCACACCACTTTTTTTTCCTACCGCATTTTGTTTGACAAGAGGGCCATTTTCTGTATGCTTGTCCCATCTTTTGGATTTATCTATTCCCTCATTTCCTGCAAACCGGACATTAGGTCTAAAAACCTGATTCAGGTTATGTATTTATTCTTTTTTTAAAAAAGTTTAAAGAGAATGAAGAGGGCCCATCCTTCCACTGTATGTGTGCCCACCACCCTCCTTTCCCCTTTTCTGTTAGAAAATTCTAACGGCACAGAAAGCTTCTTTCCACTTTCCCCCGGGGCAGTCGGTCAGCGGTAATTTCCCCTTCCATCTGTGAGGTTTGTGTCTTTATATGTCTAAACTGAAGAAGGTCCATACCTTGTGCACCCTTCTTCCCCGTGCTCTTTCCACCTGACGTGTCTTGGAAACCCTCCCATTTCAGCACATACAAGTCTGCGCGTTGTTTGACACCCAGATATCAATAGTATTCCCGTGTCAATGTCGCACATTAAATGATCTGTCAGTCCCCTGTGGTGCTCTATAATAGCCCCCAAAGTGTGTGGGAGCATCCTCACCCTTGTACATATGTGTGCTTGGCCCTCTTTGTGAGCATAATTAAAATAAACGCCTAGCCGAGGAAATCATGAGATAAGCACTTCCTGAAGGATCCCCCATACGCTTTCCCACACGTGTGAGAGGGCCGACTGGCCCGCTTGCCTGGCCGCTGTTAACTGAGCATCATCAGTATTTTAATTTTTACAAATCTGATGGGTTAAAAACGGTATCCGGTTTATTAACTGTGTGAAAGCGAGTCTGTTTCAAATGTGTTTTGGCCATTTTCTTTCTTTTTTTTTTTTTTTTTTTGCGGTATGCGGGCCTCACACTGTTGTGGCCTGTCCCGTTGCGGAGCACAGGCTCTGGACGCGCAGGCTCAGCGGCCGTGGCTCACGGGCCCAGCCGCTCCACGGCACGTAGGATCTTCCCGGACCGGGGCACGAACCCATGTCCCCTGCATTAGCAGGCGGACTCTCAACCACTGCGCCACCAGGGAAGCCCCATTTTCTTTTTTAAATTAATTAATTTATTTTTGGCTGCATTGGGTGTTTGTTGCTGTGCGCGGGCTTTCTCTAGCTGCCGTGAGTGGGGACTGTTCATTGCGGTGGCTTCTTTTGTTGCGGAGCACAGGCTCTAGGCACGTGGGCTTCAGTAGTTGTGGCACGTGAGCTCAGTAGTTGTGGCTCACAGGCTCTAGAGCACAGGCTCAGTAGTTGTGGCGCAGGGGCTTAGTTGCTCTGCAGCATGTGGGATCTTCCCAGACGAGGGCTCGAACGCGTGTCCCCTGCGTTGGCAGGTGGATTCTTAACTACTGCGCCAGCAGGGAAGCCCCTTGACCATTTTTAAAAATTGCTTGCTTTTTATGAAAGAACTGTAGAATTCATTCCTGACTTCAGTTGTTCAGTGGCAGGCACCAGGGACGGTGTCATTTTAAGTGGGAAATGGGGAGGAGGTTCATGGTCTGGTGGAGGCTCCACCACCTCTGATTCGTGAAGCCCCTGAGACGTGAGGTTCTCTGTGTACGTTTTCCTTAATTCTCCTTTGATTACACGGGTTTTGTTACACGCTCCCTCTGAGGGAAGGTCGTTCCAGCATCTGGCCGTTACCAGAGGCCAGGGGCCCCTTTAAGCAGAGCTCCATGTGGAGCGGGGCGTGGAGAAGGGTCTGCGGGCTCAGGCCAGGTGTTGGCTGCCTCTTCACCTTATGCTGCCCTCTGCCCAGCAGAGCCCAAGCCACCCTCCAGAGAAGGAAAGCATCCCCCCAGGTCTGATTTCCCACGGGGTGGTCTGTCAAAGCGTCCCTCCCTTCCACACCAGTGCCCCGCCGGCACCACGCCACCAGCTTTCACTGGACGTTTTGGGGCCCCTTAGGGCCCGGCCACCCACCACCCTTCAGTCCCATCTCAGTGTCAATGGGTGCGGAGCACGTGACTGAATCCTGTTTAAACAGACGGTTTAAATTTGTGTTGGTGCGTGTTCCCTCTCAGACGTTTAGTCCACACTTAAAATTGCTTAAAACAGCACTTGCAGCATTCCCTTGGAATGTTCTCGGAGGTGGCGAGCTTTGTTTTTTGATGTTAGGATTTTTTTCCTGCAGTAGCGTGAGTTTTTAAACCCCGGTGTGGTGATTGAGGGGGGATTGAAGTTTTAACTATCAAGTAATGAGAGGAGCCCTTTGAGGACCCTAAACGTGGTCCCAAAATACAGTCTTCCGCCCGGTGGTTTCTTTTCCTTTCTTTTTTTAAAAAAATAGTTATTTTTTTTAAATGTATTTTTAAAATTTATTTATTTTTGGTTGCGTTGCAGTGGCTTCTCTTGTTGTGGAGCACGGGCTCCAGGCGTGCGGGCTTCAGTAGCTGTGGCAGGCGGGCTCTTGAGTGTGGGCTCAGTAGTTGTGGCACGTGGGCCCCATTGCTCTGTGGTACGTGGGATCCTCCCGGACCAGGGCTCGAACCTGTGTCTCCTGCATTGGCAGGCAGACTCTCAACCACTGAGCCACCAGGGAAGTCCCTGCCCGGTGGCTTCTAAGGCCAGACTTTGGAGAAGGCCATGGATTTTCTCCCCTGGAGAAGGCTCTAATGTAATTTTTCATTGAGTTTCTGGGGCTTCATAGACCCTCTGAAATTTTACCTCAGAACCCTTCTTCCTGAATTATTGCAAAGACATTCATTTTCATGTTTTGGTTCAGAGATTTTTGTTTTAGCCTCAGAGTCAGGCCTTGCATCTCAGACTTGGATGTGAGATACTGTTCAGATTTTGAGGTTAGAAGGAGGCCGGGGTTTGTGTGTGTGTGAAAGAGAGATATAGGAGGCCTGTTCAAATATTGGCAGCTTTGTCACTTTACATGTCCAGTGTTTATTTGTGTGGTTTTTTGTTGTTTGGCTGCACCGCAAGGCATGCAGGATCATAGTTCCCTGACCAGGGATCGAACCCGCACCCCCTGCAGTGGAAGCACAGAGTCTTGACCACTGGACCACCAGGGAAGTCCCACATGTCCAGTATTTTAAAACCCATAATAGAGGCCTCTTGTAGCTGAAGGAGAGGAAGTGATGGGCAGGTCTAAAAGGAGCTTGCAGACAACGTTTCACCAAAAAGTTAAAATCTGAGGGGGGGAAATGTCAAGCATATTTGAGAAAAATGCCAAATCTGCAGTGTTAATATACAGTGTTTTCCAAGTGGTTGCTGTTTTATCTCCTCTCAAATGAGGTTATCCATGTGGAAACAGCCAGCTGAGCAGGTTCTCAGTGTATGTGAGCTGAATACATTTCTGAGTTTCGGAAATATTTTGTGTGCATGGCATTTCCCTTCTGCTAAGGTTTTCAAGGTTTTTCATACACTTGTATTTTAACCTGTAATATTTTCAACATACCAGAGTACAAAGCAGAAGGTCAAGCTGTTACCTCAGTCTTTAGAATTTTGGCGTTCTGTGCCTTTTCTTTTACAAATATTATAAAGAAGGAGGGAAAGGTCTCTTTTTACAGGAGAATAGTCTAAAAAAAGCGTATAAGGTATCATCTGTGTTAGAGCACCCATGCGTGCGTCACACAACGTTTTAGATCTAGCAGAGGCTGCTCGTTGAAAAGCAGAATTTCATTAACAGCAACAGACGTGGCAGAAGTGGAAATGTTGGTCTATTTTTGGATTTCCTCTGTGTTTGCTTTGAATTCATCTGCTGATCACCTCTCTGTCTGTGTTCACCAAGCCACCAGGCAGTGCTGTGCTTGTCAGAATCATCCAAACTCAATAGACTCAATCCAGGGAGAGAGCCTATCAGCGCCCTGGAGGAAGGTTTTGATGGAATGCAGGATTTGTGTTAAAAGTGGAAGGATGACTTAGAGGGAGGTTAGTTACATAACAGCGCTCTCAGACGAGGACCGAGGTTAGAGCTCTTAACCAGAGCTTGCAGACATTTTGGGTATTTTACTTCTTACTGAAAGTTACCTGTGGTGCCATGCTTGCCTTTAGCTTCTGTTGTAGGGCAGCCCTGGGTATGTGGGGTCGCCTGGTATTGGCACACTTGCTGATGGAGGGTGTAAATGCAAATAAAATCTTACTCAGAGGTGCCTTTTCCAGTTAGGTGAGGAGTTTGGTTTTTTCCTTGTTTTACATTTTCACAAACTCCCCAGACTGGTTTATTTTTGTTTTGTTTTTGTTTTTGTTTTTTTTTGTCCACGCCACGCGGCTTGCGGGATCTTAGTTCCCTGACCAGGGATCGAACCCAGGCCACAGCAGTGAAAGCGCCAAGCCCTAACCACTGGGCCACCAGGGAATTCCCCCAAACTGGTTTAAGTCAATGAGAAGCCCTCCTCCCACTCCTGCCTGTCAGTGCTTTCTCCTAGTGACTGAAGATGCTAGACCAGGGTAGGGCCTGCAGGGAGTGGGCGTGGGACTGGGCAGGTTTACTGACCTGGTACCTGGCCAGAGCTGGCCAAGAAACGCCTGGGCAGGGGTCTTCTGCTCAGGCTGGGGGGCCGAAATCAGGTGAAGGGTGCTCATTTTCCTTCCCCCTCCCACTTGCTGGGTGGCATGCTTTAGGGTACAGCAGAGCTGCAGGTGTCCCCAGGTTGCCGGGTGGGCTCCTTTTCCATCCCTCGCTCCTTTGCAGCTGGTGGAGATGGGGAAGGGGGAGGGTCTAGAGGAATGGGTGGAGGTGGAGGAAGGTGGGAAGGCCCTGCCCTTTTCTTATGGAGGCGATGAGGGCAGAAATTGAAAGCTAGGAGAGAGTAAGCGAAGGGCGACTCCATAGGTCTCCCCTCGGTCTCTGGGAGGTGTGGGTTTGTTGGTGAAGGAATCAGGAAAGGGAGACAAAAGTCCCAAGAGGGAAAGGGCCGCTGGGCTGGACACACTGTCCTCGCCTCACCCTTTCCCCTTAACTTATCACAAGCCTCTGGGGGAAGAACACAGAGGACTCGGGTATCAGTGCCCAGGGCTCCCACGTGGGAGACTGGCAGTAAATGTGTAGAAGTCAATGGCAAGGAGAGGTTGGGAGAGCAATTATGTAACAAAAGACAGTTTTTCTTTGATTGTCATCAGCTTCCAATGTCCTGCGGTAGAGCCTGTGTGTGCCCACTGCCCAGGTTAAATCATTGCCCCCATTTGCCCAGGTTTGTCCCCACCATGACCTTCTTTTTCTTTTGTTTTGCTGCTTCAGTATTTTTAAAACAAGTTCCAGAGGTATCAGGTCACAGATATTTCAGTATGCATCTCTAAAATGTTTGGGCGCTTTCCTATATAACTATGATGTTGTGATTAATAATACTCTTTTAATTTACAAAGATGGTTAAACTTCAACTTTCATTTTAAATTAATCCTTTTTAGGTAACTTCTTTTTAGAAAAAAGATAATCAACCTCTATTTAAAATTTTAGAATAAAATATGCTGAGGCTCAAAGATGCAATGTAGGAGGGAGATACCTTACAGTTAAGTAGTATCCAGTGTGACTTCGAAGGTAGTCAGTCTCATGTACATCGTGGCTTCAGTTAGGTCAAGTACTAGTTGCAGCCCAGATCTGTCTGCGTTACTTACTTCCTACTCAGCATCTCTGCTTCAGGGTCCCAGGCGGCTCTTGGTGTCCAGGGCCAACCTCCCCGCCCCAGCCCGACAGCCCCAAGCTCTTTGGCTGGTACCCCTGAATCTCGTTGAACAGTAATACCATCCTCTCATTCCACGAGCTGAAAACATAACGAGTCATCTTTGATGCCTCCTTCTCCTTCAGTCCTACATCCAGCCTATCACCAAGCCTTATCAAATTTCACCTCATTTTCTCAGTTACTGTGCACTTCTCTTCCTGTCCACTAGCACCGCCCTAGTCGAAGCCCCAGAATAACATGCTAGCGGTTCTGTTTGTTCCATTTTGACCTCCTTCCACATTTCAACTGGAGAGAGCTGTTGAGAAAGTAAATCTGATTTCGATCCACCCCTGCTTCAGCGCTTTCTGTGGCTCACGTAAAATAAGCGGTAACTGTCTATACTTTGGTTTAATCAAGATTGGATTGTATTCAACCGACTGATGCTAGGGTGTGAGCATGTGTGCCCAGACCCAGCCTGGCTTCTAACTGAGCCTGTTGCATGTAGATTTTTGCAGCCCTGGGGTTTTGATGCGGTGCTTTCACTGTTGCTTGCCTACCCTCCTGCCCGCCATCAGCACAGAGAAACAGTCAATAACACCTGCATCAGAGCTCAAATATATGGAGAGAGAATAGAGAGTCTGTACACACACAAGTGAATTTGTCAGTACACTTTAAAACGTTTTCGTTAAAATTCTGTGTGAAATGCAGTTATTTTAAATTTTTTTATTTTGAAAGGTTTCAAGAGTATACATTAGAGAAAATAGTACAATGGAAACTCCTATATACCCATCCCTGGATTCAACAGTTATCAAGATTTTGCCACATTTGCTTTCTCTTTTTAAAAAATATCCTTTTGAAGTATGTTAAATCCCAGGTATCATGCGCTGAGAGCTTTTTAAAAAATTATAGTATTAATAATAGTTAAATATATCTTTAAGAACAAGACATATTGGACATTGGTTAGAATATCTGAAGCATCTGTGCAGAATAGTTTGTAAACCGCTGCCCAGTTCCAGCCATAAAGGAATCATGTAAAAAGATGTGTGAGTGCTTTAAAAAAAACTCTCCCAATGATGCTTAGTTCTTTGATCCTGGATTAGGATTATGGTCAGGAAGTAGGATTAGATGGTCATCTCTGAGTTTCCCTTAAATCATGAGATACTATGATAATAACCAGTTTACTCAGTTTTTGCTGCTACTCTATTATCGTTTCAGATATATGTCAGGAAAGCACTATCTTAGTTTGTGCTTTAAAGAAATACCTTCATTTACACCTTCCTGATATCAGTGTTTCTCCTTATAAAACCCCAATTTAAAAGGATCTTTCATTTTCACAAATGATTTGAGAAGATTCCTGGCCAGCTTAGAGACGAAGCTTCTAAAGAAGAAGTAACTTTATTGTTTTATGATTTGTGTTTTAGTAAAATAAGGGCTGTTTGTTCATAAAGCCACTTTGCTATCTCTGCTTTTTCTAATTAGTTTTTTTATTTGGCTCTTTCCGTTTTTAAGTGTACAGAGAAGTTATTCTGAGCAGGTCGTGATGACTTTTTCATTTAATTTTAAAACAGTTCAGTTATTTAAACTCTGTTCTGGGGAAGAGGGAATACTTAACATCCAGAGATTAAAACCCGCTTACTGCATAAAATCCGGACCCTGAAACGCTCAGGCAGTGCCTGGGAACTGTGTCCGTGCCAGGTGAGATCCCTGTTACCTGAGTTGTCCGCATCCAAAGTTTCTTCCAGACCAGTTGTTTTAACCTGCGGAATTTTAACATCATATTAATATGCTTTGCAGAGGGCCCATGATCTATTTAGCCATTTCCTAAATAGCTCTGTTTGGTATAATTATTATTTGTATGACTTGGATAGTACACACACACACCGTTTGGGCTGGGAAGATTCGCTTTAGAGTGTAGTACCAGCCGTCCGCCTTCAGGCCACACCGCCATCGTTGCGGAACCTTAGGGATGCTTCGTAAAAGCAAAGAGGGCAGAGCTTGCCGTTTGTGTGGCTTCAGCTAGTGGAGAATATTCACCAATGCTGAAAAGGTAATTTGTTAACAGACGGCTTTTGTGTTTTGTTTTAGACTCACAAGACGTGGACGAACAGCTGGTAGCAGAAGTGGTTGAAAAATGGTCGCCTGAGGCTGGTTCTAGACCCTCAGAAAACGAGGCGGCTCAGCACACTACTGAGTCTTACTCAGTCAAGGGTTTCAGAGAAGAACCTGAACACGATGTGAGCAAAATCTCTGTCGTGAGGCCGTTTTCCGTAGAAACCAAGAATTCCACGGCGCCCCGGGGGCCGCCTGGCCCAGCAGCGGCTCATGGCTGCGTGGCCGCGGCCCTAGGCCAGGCCGGGCCCTGCCCCCGCGCGCCGGGCGCCGCCCAGGACCAAGCAATGACCGAGGGCACCATGGGGGCCACGCTGGAGGCCTCGGCGGAAGCCGACCCGGAGGCGGGGAGCCCGTGTCCGGAACCCGGGGCCAGCAGAAGCAGGCTGCGGAAGCCCAGGCCCGTCCCCCCGAGGAAGAAGGCGGCAGGCGGCGGGGTCTCCGAAGCCCACCCCGCCCCGGAGGGCGCGCGTTTTCCCCGGGCGGACCACCAGTCTGGTCCCGACGGAGAGGCTGGGAACGCCGCCACCCCTGCCCTGCTAGGAGGTGACAGGAGCCAGAAGTGTCCCCCCGAGGTGAGGGAGACACCGTGTGCCCCCGCCGGGGACACCCGCGACTCAGGGGCTGAGCTGCCGGAGGCCGTGAGGAGCTCCCCTCTGAAACTGGAGTTTGACTTCACGGAAGACCTGGAGACTGTGGAGTCCAGGAAAGCCCTCCCGAGGAAACCCGGCCGGAAACCGGGCAGCAGGGTGACGCCCAAGGTTCAGAAAGACGGCGCCGGGGAGCCAGCAGGCGCCCCGGGGGCAGGGGCGTCCTCAGAGCCGGGTCCCCGCCCCTGTCCCGGGGAAAGCCCCGACTTCGGGCCCTTAGGGGGCCACTCCCCGCTGCAGCACTCGCCCCTGCTCTCGGCTCAGGGCTCCTACCGCTTTGACCCAGATCCCTTTGACGAATCCATGGATCCCTTTAAACCCGCTATGACTTTACCGAGCAGTGACTTTGGTTCTCCCGCCTGTAGTCATATTAGTGAAATCTTAGAATCACCCAAGAAGGCAAAGTCGCGTTTGATAACGTGAGTGAGACGGGCGTGGGCCTTGTGTTCTGGGTCCTCTCTGTGAGTTTGGCGGCCACTGCTTTTGGTTTGGGTGAAGGTGCCCCGGGGCAGATACAGAGCTCGTAACCTCGCACTGCAGTCTTCACTGTTTTGCCTAACTCTGGTGTGGAATCAGAGATACCTGAGGTTTCCTTTTTAGATGTCTGCCTTGCTTCTGAATCCTCAGTTTATTCAGCTGAGTTCTTTCCCCCCCCACCTTGGGTACTTTTTTCCTATTAAAAAAAGAATGTCATGGGCTAGGCAGGTAGAGATTTGATGGTTTTCAGAAATCCTATCTGAGCTGTCGGGAATCGTTTTATATACAGAAGTCAGGTGTCAGTGCTAGCCACCTTCTTCAGCTTCTCTGAGGATGAAACAAGAATCCCAGGGCTGCAGGTAAACTGTGTAGTATCAGTAACACGTGGGAAAGGGTCTTACAGAAGTCTTTTCGCTTGAACAGAAAGCTGTGATTTTTGTTGGAAACAAACCTACCACTAAAAGTTAGTGAGAATTCTTACGTCTCTTGGTAAAGCTTCTGGCTCTTTCAGAAAGGAGGTGAGTTTCCAAAAAGAATCAAGACTATTTTAAACAATTGCCTAAATCTGACTAAGTTAGGCTGTTAGTCTTCGTCGTGTGAGATCCCTCTCCCCAGCAACCCCCCTTCTCCCGGGAAATCTGGAGCCACTTTTCCAAGGTCCTCGGAGTTCTCTCAGAGTGGTCACCCCCAGGCCATAATTCCACATCACATTTCAGGTTAAACTTGTTACAGGGTGACCTTATCACAAAACTTGAGTCGATGACAACCTATTGGTATCTTCATGACCCTGTGACATTTTACTAAGAATTAGATATAAAGAAGGGCCAATGGGGAATTCCCTGGCAGTCCAGTGGTCAGGACGTGGCGCTTTCACGCTTTCACTGCCGTGGCCCAGGTTCGATCCCTGGTCAGGGAACTAAGATCCCACAAGACGTGTGGTGTGGCCAAATTAAATAAATAAAGTATTAAAAAAAAAAAGGGGCCAGTGACATGGTGGATGAAATATGAAAAGGGAGGGTGAGAAGAAGTACCATGTTTCTCATTGTCACCACAGTCGTATTGGCGAAATGCTTTTCAGCGTTAATGTGATGTAAAGAAAAACACTAGATGGTGTGGTGATTGACACCAGAGAAAAAGGGTTAAAGAGCCGAAAGTGTGAGGACCAAGAAGCTTGAGCACTGCAGGAACGGATTCTTCAGCAGCCCCAGAATATTCCCCAGGACGTCTAAAGGGAATAAAATGTCAATAATAGTTCTTGATCTGTTCTTTGATTATAGACACACAGTTAAATGGTTGCTGAAAAATATTATTGATCAGGTGACCTCAAGGTGCTTTTCTGTAGTTCAGGTTAGTTACCTGTGTCTAGACGATGCCCGGGGGACACGATGGCCAGGTCTTTGCCTGCGTTCTTCCTAACCTGGGGTCCCCTAATTATGGGCAGCCCTGCCTATCAGGGTTGATAAGGGGTCATTGGGAGCCTCCCTTTCAGTTGCTGTTGAAGGTGTGTAGCCAGTGCATTCATGTTACATGAGACTAAAGTGGGACCAAAGGGAGGGAAGTTTATCCTACATCTTGTTTTCAGTAGCAAGAAGCACCCTCTCCCAGTCCTACCACCCTCACCTGCTAGCATTTTCCTCCTGTTCTGTTGCTTTTTTTTTTTTTTTTTTTGAGGTACGCGGGCCTCTCACTGTTGTGGCCTCTCCCGTTGCGGAGCACAGGCTCCAGACACGCAGGCTCAGCGGCCATGGCCCACAGGCCCAGCCATTCCATGGCATGTGGGATCTTCCCAGACCAGGGCACGAACCCGTGTCCCCTGCATCGGCAGGCAGACTCTCAACCACTGCGCCACCAGGGAAGCCCTTGTGTGACTTCTTAAAAGATGATGTAATTGACATCTCAGATCCTTCTTCTGTAAACTAGAGACATCATCCTGTGATTGGGATTTTTGTGGGTCAAATAAGATACATTATGTAAAATCGCTTGGAGTTTCTCAGTAATATACTCCTACCGGAGATATAAGCAGATACATTTTCAATTATATTTTCATTCATGTATTGATTGCCTTTAATCTGGATGACTACACATTTAAGAGTAAACATACTCGGCAGTAATGCCGTTTTTTTACATTTACAAATATTTGAAAGTTTACTTTTCATAAATTTGACCGTATGAGAGTGTTTCTATCACTCTCTTACTACTGAGAATCATTCACTCACCAGTGGTAACATTCATGAGTATGACATTTTACATTCATGTCTCACCTCATAGAAAGAACTTTGCGAGCTTTACGTCTGCCAGACTAGAGATAAATATTCCAGGCTTTACATGATTTTTTTCTCCATCTGTCTGTCTCTTTCCCGTCTCTAATTTTGTTGGTGCATCAGGACTACTGAACAAGTGAAATTTCTCTGTTTTCTGTTGTAAGTACTCCTGTTTCTGGCTCTCCCTGGGGCCCTTGGCAGTTCCTCCCCTACCCTCCCCGGACCATCTCTCCATAGCATGTTGGCTTCCCTTTCTGAGTTGGATCTTCTGATGATTTTTTTGCATTTCATTTGCCACTTCCTGAGCCAGCTTATTAGCCTTGCCATCTGTACCCAAAGGCTTGGAGATGGGGCCCTCCCACCTCAGGTGCGAGAGCTTGCGTCCCCGGCTTGACACACGCCTCGTGTGGCGCTGTGATGCTGCGTGCTGGCTTGGCCCTACTCTCATCCCCGCAGCGGCTTGAGGAACTGCTCTGCTGTTTCATGTCAGGAACAACTGACTTTTTTGATAGGATAAGGCTGCCGCCTTGGAGCAGGCAATACATTTTACCGAGTCAGCTCAACCTGAGTTTGGTGGCAGGGATGACACTCAGGCATCAGGGAAGGCAAGCAGACACTACCGAGGTGGTCGTCCCTCTTCTGGTAGCCATGCTGAGCTTTGTTTTTGCCCCGCAAAACGAGAAGAACTTGCAGTTTTGGTTGGGGGTGGGGTGTGGTCAGAGCGGCGGTGCTGGCAATTCTAAGTTCATTACAACAGAACAGAATCTGGATAGTCTTCAGGTCACAAATGACGTGCTAGTTTAAACAAAGCGGGTGGTTTGAGCTTCCCCAGTTCCGGCCGTGACGTTCGTTTTCCATCTCGCTACTTAAGAGGAATGGTAACAGTTTGCTCAGACATTTTTATTTTCATCCTTTCTGTTGCCCACAGTCCTCCTCTGTGAGCACGCAGGTCTGGAGCTGTCTTCCCAGACTTCTGTGGCTTTTAGCGCAATAAAGAATTTTTAAAGAATGTGGTCCGGCGTGGTAATTTTTCTGGTGACTATCAAAGACAAGTGAGCGCGGATCAGATGACCCGACCGTCTCCAGGTACTGGGGCTGCTCTTGGAAGAGCTGTTGGTGGCTGCTGGCGTGCAGTTACAAGCCGTAGGGGCCCGAGTGCTGGTGTTTAGCTACCCGCAGAAGCAAGTGAGGAGGTCACTGAGTTACAGTTCTTTGCTTGCCCTGCCTCTCGGGAGAGGATTCAGAGGCGGGAAGGTGTTCGTTCCCATCTCTGACGCGTGGAGGTGTGATTCGCGTGGGGCTGTGCGCTTTGGCTTGTGTCTGCACACACCGCTGTCTGCACCATCTCACAGCTTGGAGGTTGTCAGTGTGATTCCAAACCGGCCCGGTGTTCTGTTTGTTTTTTTCCCAGGAGTGGCTGTAAGGTGAAGAAATACGAAGCCCAGTCTCTTGCTTTGGATGGGTGTTCTCAGGTAAGTCTGTGTTCCTCATCAGAGTGGTGATTAATGAAGATTTTCCAGTGGGGATCTGAGTACTCAGCTTTAAGTAAACCAATTCCCAAATCCTTGACTTCCTAAGCTGATCTGAGAAAGGGCTCTGAGGATAAGGGAACCGTTCCTTCACAGCTACCTTTTTCCCACTTTTTTGTGGTAAAGTTCCCTCTCAGCCGTTCTCAAACTGACTAGGGTGCATCACCACTGGGTGTGAAACTTCTGGGCACCAAAGAGGGGATTTGAAATACTGGTGTAAGTCATAAGAAGGTGATTGACTCCAGTGACTGGATAATATATTTTTAAAGTCAGATGGTTTTCCATTTCATTGCTTTTAACAAGTTAAGGAGAACCTGAATTGTCAGCTGATAGATTATTAAAAATCAATTTTGACACAGTGATATATGTCAGTTATATCTCAATTAAAAAGGTAATTATTTGGACTTCCCTGGTGGTCCAGTGGTTAGGACTCCGCGCTTCCACTGCAGGGGCCTCGGGCTCGATCCCTGGTCGGGGAATTAAGATCCCTCATGCAGCACGACATGGCCCAAAAGGAGAAAAAAAGATAATTATTGATGATAGAATTTTTTGGAACATAATTTGGAAAGGAGTTCAAAGAACTGAGACATTTCTATTACAAACTTTGTTCTGTTTCACCTATTTATTTGTATTAGTAAAACTTCTGTTTCACCTATTTATTTGTATTAGTAAGGCTTCTGGCTTCTTGATTATAATTATAAAAATGGAAAACAGGAATCAAATTGATGCTGACCTTTGTTTCATTCTAGCAATAAATATTTGTCCATGACTATATAATTAATTGGGAAACACACACACACACAAGTGAACAAAAGAAAACCCGGACCCATTTGATTGCAATGAAGTCCTTTTTTTTTTCCCCTTTTTAAAACTTTATTCCAGCGTAACCATGATTACAGAAATACGGTCATTGCATTTTAAGTTTAACTTATCTTACGCAATTTGGACCAAAAACTTGGTACGTGGTTTAAGATTAAAAAAAAAAGATTTGTAATTTGATTTATTCTTCATCTATTACAAATGTATGAAGTGTCCACCTTCAAATGCTGCTAAAGCAGAGGCAGCTAGAACTATGAAAAATTTACGTTTGATTTGCTTCAGAAAAATAACATATTGCATTGTAAAAGATTTTTTAAATTGGTGCAACAAAATATTGTACTCGATTTCCAGTTTTTAAAAATTTTACTTTTGTGTTTGATTGTACTTACCAAACATTGTAATACTTTTAGAATAAATTGTGCGTTTGTAATTGTAGTGATAACCCTCCAGAAGAAAAAATGTTAACACTTAGAGACTTAACGGTTGTAAAAAAAGGTTTAAAAATTTTTTTTAAACAAATGTAATAGGAGAACTTTAAAAAACTTGAAAGCAAATGCATTTCTTTGGCATAATTTCTTTTCCTGTTTGTTTTTTTTTTTTGCGGTACGCAGGCCTCTCACTGTTGTGGCCTCTCCCGTTGTGGAGCACAGGCTCCGGACACTCAGGCTCAGCGGCCATGGCTCACGGGCCCAGCCGCTCCGCGGCATGTGGGATCTTCCCGGACCGGGGCAGGAACCCGTGTCCCCTGCATCAGCAGGCGGACTCTCAACCACTGCACCACCAGGGAAGCCCTGGCATAATTTCTTGATGGAAGTAGTGAGGAAATACAAATTCAGAGAGGAATGATGTAAATTTCTGACTATTAAAGGGCTTATTCATGTTCGATTTTCAACAGCTGGTAAAGTATCAAATCACTAGAGTAACTAAATTGAATTAATAAGCGAAGTCAGTATTTAAAATATCATAAAAATTTTTTCTTTTCTTTTGTATCTGTGTGAGAGGATGGATGTTCTCCAAACTTACTGTGATAATTTCATGATGTATGTAAGTCATATCGTTATGCTGTACCTCTTAAAGTTACACAGTGCTGTTATGTCAATTATATCTCAGTAAAACTGGAAGGAGAGATAAGTAAACAAGCAAACAAATAATATGTAGCAGATATTGTAACCTTCGTGACTACTTAAGCTCATAGTGAAAGGTTTTTAGATGTCACCTGAAAATACAGTGGGGTGCATAAATTTTCCAGAAAAGTCTGGGATCTATCTATATGAGCAAAATGTATGAAAACTATTTTCTTCAGCCACTTAAACTTCTTGCTTATAAATTTAGGCTAGAAAAGCTTAATTTTTTAAACCTCAGGTGTGAATTACAGAAGGTAGGCCCTAGAAAATACAACCTTCCATGGTTGAGGGGCTGCAGCTTCTTCCTGCTTGGTACCCAGATTCGTGGAGAACATCCATATGGAATGGCGGCGGCTTTGCTCTTCCTGAGACGTCACTTTCCCCATTGCTTGCCCTCCTAAATGGTAGCATCTCATCTGTTGCCTTTCCCAGGATGAAGGAGCAGTGATCTCCCAGATTTCAGACATTTCTAACAGGGATGGCCATGCTACCGACGAGGAGAAGCTGGCGTCCACGTCATCTGGTCAGAAACCCATTGGGGCCGAGGGGAAAGGTGAGCCAGAGGACGACCTGGAGTACTTTGAATGTTCCAATGTTCCCGTGTCTGCCATAAATCATGCGTTTTCATCCTCAGAAGCAGGTATGGAAGCAAATCTTCATCTTTTTTACGTACATAAGCATAGAAATGCCTGGAAGCTCAGGGCAGGAGACACTTTAAAGAGATTAGAGAACGGGTTCCTTGATGGATAGGTTTAGGCTGCTGGTCTGTGCTTTGCTTCTTTGCCTGGAGAAGAGACACAAAAGGGTGTCAGTGGAGCACCAGGGACGTATGGATCTGAATGGCAGGATGTACAGAGACACTGATGTATCAGACTGCTTGAATTCTTTCCTAATTATTTCAGTCTGGCCATATCTTCATGTGTCGTGACCTGGAACCATGTTGGGATTATTGGGCTCCTGGTTTCCCTTATAGAAATAATAACAGCTAACAGGTATAGTTGCTTCCACATGCAGGCACTGTTCTAAGTGTTTTACGTGTAGTAACTCATGTCTCCTCACTAGGTAGCGTTCTTTTTTTGTTTTGTTTCTTTTTAAATTGAAGTATAGTAGATTTACAATGTTGTCTTAGTTTCAGGTGTACAGCAAACTCATTTAGTTACATATGTTTTTTCAGATTCTTTTCCATTATAGGTTATTACAAGATATTGAACATAGCTCCCTGTGCCATACAGTAGTTCCTTGTTTTTTTATCTATTTTATATTAGGCAGCATTCTTTTCCCCATTATCAGAGAGGGAAAGTGAGACAGAAGTTAAGGATCTCGGCCACAGTCTCCTGTCTAGTAAGTGGTGGACTAGGGTCCGAGTTCCCAGCAGTCTTGGCTTCACGGTCTTTTAACCACAAGGCTAACGTGTGAAGAGATGGTTTTCGTTACCCTCAACTATTGTAAGTTTCCCTGCTTGCAGACATGGTGGATTGAAAATGACTGATGCTTCTTCATGTTCTCATAAAGGCCTAGACCAACCTGTGCGAAGCTTAGTGCTGTTTTCCTCTTTAGAACATTCTAAATCCGAGGCCCTTTTCCAGGTCCCAGGTTGTATCTGTGGCCTTAACCTTCGTTGTGAAGCACTTGGCACCGTGTTCCTGACTTCATTAAACATTATTGGAAACTCAGGTCTTTAGCAACATAGTTCAATGTGGAGCTTTTATACTTAGAATTTAAAAAATAATGATCTATCATCAAACCAGAGAAGCAGGTGGAAATCTGGACTTCGTGAGAGTTATCTCCCCACCTACCCAGGTCTCTTTCCCGTCTGTAAAATAAACGTTCCAGGCACTGTTCCACATTTCCTCCCAGGCCTTTTTTCTGCTCTGATGTTTTCTCCAAAGACCCTGTCTGCCATTTCCTTTTGTGCCCCTTTACCCATTACACAGGCTTACCCTTAGGACTCTCATACCTACACTTATTTCTTGTATATGAAATGCCTTTCTTCACCATTGTCCTGTAGAGATTCTACCCATCCTTGCCGGTCTGTCTCAAAAAGGTCACTTGGCTCCCACAGCATTTCTTCGTACGTTCCATGTATTAGTTATGGAAGGTTATCTTTGATGGAAGGTTATCTTTGATAAACTTCTTGAGGTTAAGGACTATGAGTGATTCATCTTCGATTTTCCTCTAGTGCAGGTGCATGGTCCATGTTTGTTGAATTATATCCTTCCTCACTAGGAGGAAATCCCTTTGGCAGAAACTTTATGAGCTGGGGTTCTGCTAACAGAACAGCTCCTGTTAACACTGTTCGTAACTGATTAGCCACATCGTGGGAGTGAGCGGGGGCCCTGGTCGCGTGGGGTGGGTGAACTGTGTCCTGGGATATCACCTTCAGCCTGGGTCTTGATAGAAAAATACGAAGATGCACCCCAAGGAGTCTCTCACAGGGATGGGAAGGAACCTGCCACACAGGTAAAATGCCCAGTAGCTGTCCGTGAGTACAGGGCAAGTGGGAACCCGGGGTCTTCCTGAGGAATTGGGGCTTTATCAGTATAGAGGAGCCACTGAAGGTTTTTAAGTAAAGTAGTGATGGTCACATTTATGTTCTCAATAATTCACTCTCGACAGTGCACTAAAGTAGTAATTTGCGATTGCAGGTGGAGGATTGTAGCTTTAGCATTTTATGTGCTTTTACATATCTAAAACTTTTCTTCAACGAGTGCATGTTCCTTTAATCAGAAAAAGCATCGTGTTGGTTTTTTGTATGCGTTGACTCTGGTGGTGGAGTGGAGCAGAGGAAACCATCTTGAAGAGTGTGGGGAGGATATTGAATTTAGTGTTCGGGCATTGAAATTTAGAGGTTTTTGTTTTATCTGCTCCATTAATTCCACTGACGTACCCTTCAGGGCTGGAATTCAGATTCACTCCAACTTGGTAATAAAATAGCTTTCAGCGTTAACAGTTTCTCCTCTTTCTGAAATGACCCAGTGGTTAGTCCAACTCACTTGCAAAACTTTCCATGGACACAAGGGGGCAGCCTTGCCGTTCCCTCCACCTGAGGACGTGCTTCTGTCTGAGGCTGACCGACCGTAAGCTCCTCTTTCCTCTGGGTGTTTTGGACCCTGAACACAGACAGCGCAGTGGTCAGCAGAATGTAGCGTGTCTTCGGAGATCTTGAGATGCTGTTCAGGGGCCCTCAGATGTCCTTCCGGACCTGCGCTGGGGTCTCCCAGAGTCTCTTGGTGGGAAGGAAAGGCACAAAACCTCTTGGGATGACTCTAAAAATGACTCTCTGTGTTTTAGGCACTGAGAAGGAGACGTGCCAGCAAATGGAGGAGGATGGACCCGCCGTGCCCGTGAGTCCCCAGGCTCGTGGGGGAGGGGGGTGAGCGCGGGGGGTTCAGTGTTTGTTTTGAAGCCCATGTTAACTTAGTAATTAAATTCTAGTCTGTGTCTGGTGACGGGCATGAGATAAAAATAAAGCACAGCTCCTTCACTTGAGGCGTCTCGGAGTGTGACCACTAGTACTTGGACCTGTAGCTGGACGTCCTGAGATGTCCTCCAAGTGTAAAGTGCAACCAGCGTTTGACGACTTAGCGCAGAAAAGAAGGGAAAATAAAATGTCCCTAACTTTTTTTTTTTTTCTTGCGTTACGCGGGCCTCTCACTGTTGTGGCCTCTCCCATTTGCGGAGCACAGGCTCCAGACGCGCAGGCTCAGTGGCCGTGGCTCACGGGCCCAGCCGCTCCGCGGCATGTGGGATCTTCCCGAAACGGGGCACGAACCCGCGTCTCCTGCATCGGCAGGCGGACTCTCAAGCACTGCGCCACCAGGGAAGCCCTGTCCCTAACTTTTTATACTGACAACATGTTGATGTTTTGGATCTATTGGGTTAACGAAACTATATTATTAAAATTAATTTCACCTGTTTCTTTTTACCCTTTAAATGTGGCTACTGAGAATTTTAAAATTACATATGGCTTACGTTGTATTTCTTTGGAGCAGCCCCGGTTGTAGATTACAAAATGGAAACAAGGGTTACCCTGTGGTGAATGTTACACCAGGATGTGTCCCCAGGACTGGGCTGACCCACCGCGCCGCATGTGTCAGGAAGGCCGGATTTGAGCTAATTAAAAACAATTTTTTTTCTTTTTAACTTTCAGGCTTACAAGAATAGTACAAAGAATTCCTATAACTCTTGCACCCATGCTCCTCAAACTTTAACCTCTCCTGTAATCAAAATCAGTAAACGCTGGTACGGTATTATTGTCTGGTCTGTAAACCGTATCCAGGTCTTACCAGCTACCCCCACTAGTGTCCTTTCTCTGGCACAGGATCCAGGGAAGGACCCCACAAGGTGTTCAGTGCCTGTGTTCTCAATCTCCTTTCATCTGTGACAGTTCCTCAGTCTGTCTCTGTCCTTCCGGACCTTGGCTCTTTTCAAGAGTGCTGGTTAGTTGTTTTGTAGAATATCTTTCAATTTGGGCTCGTCGAGTGTTTCCTCATGATTAAATTCAGTTTACGCATTTTTGGCACAAATGCATCAGAAGGGACCTCATGGGTATCGGTGCATCCCATTATTGGTGGAATTAACTGATCACATGGTTAAGGTGGGGTCTTCTGGGTTCCTCACTTGAACTAAGTTTTAAAGGAAGAATGGGGTTTGCCAGGTAGATAAGGCAATGAAGGGTGTTCTGGGCAGGAGAGTTGTACTGTGCAAAGACAGGGAGTGAGAAGAAACATGGGCTTTATAAGGAGTTGTAGGGACGAATAATCTCACGTGATCGGAGGATACTGTGCATGTGGTAGGTGAGAGCCAGGCCACTGGGGCCCTAGGCATCGTGCCGGAAGGTTTGGAATTTATGGAAACGCAGCAGAGGACTCTCCTGGGGGTTGAAGTAGGGAGCATCACGATCTGTAGTAAATCAGAGGATGGGACGGAGGCTGGGACTCAGCAGGCAGAACCATCACTGCTTGGTGGCTTCCGGGGTGTACGTGGTGGCTGAGGTGGAGGTTGGAGAAAGTCGCTGAAGGCCATCGAGGTTTCCGCCTTGAACATCTGAGTGGTCGGCATTGCTGATAACCAAGCCCAGAGGGGCCTCGTCTCGACAGGTGGCACCGCTGTCCACCTCATTGTTTAAGCCACAACCCTGGGGTCCTCTTGGACTCCCCCATCCTCTGTATTCCCACACGTAGGGTCTGTGGTTTCCACGTCCAGAAAGCAGATGTTGTAAATCTGTCTACTTTTGTCGAGCCCATGGCCACCACCGGTCTTTTTAAGCATGGTGGCAGTTGCCTAATGAATCTCCCTGTTCCCGAGGCTATTCTGTCCTCCTTTTCCATCAGCCAGAGTTGTTCCTCTTTGCTTAAACCCTTTCGTTGGCTTCCCTTGTCTTTAGGCTGAGCTCAGGCTCTGCTGTGGCCTCCGCGGCTTTCTACACCGCCCCTGCCTCCTTCCCATGCCAGACCCTTGCCCAGCCAAACGGGCTTTGGTTCACTGCTGTGGGCCCGCCCCTTGGAGGCACTTTCTCTTCTCCCTGCCTGCCCCACGGGTTGGGACCGTGACTGTGTGCTGACCCCTGTACCCCAGCACCGACCACAGTAAACACGGCTGAACGCAGGAGCCAGTACATCAGGAGTACAGGGGAGGTGCAGAGTTGTAGAAGTTCAGTTTTAGACGTGTGACTTTGAGACATCTGTGAGACCAGCTTCTCGGTTCACATGTCCCGTAGGCGGTGAGAGGCACACAGTGTGAGCTCAGGAGCAGTCAAGGTTGGCTTCAGTAGATCTGAGCGCCCTTAGGACACGGGGCATAGTTGAAGCTGAAGGATTAGGTGAAGTTATGACAGAAACGTTCTGAACCTGGATCCACAGTAAGAATACATTTTGCATCCTGGCTCGTAGGTACGTCTGACACATCTCAACACACGCGTTTGTATTGTTATCAAACAAATTGCACAGAATAGTATCTGCCTTTCTTCACGTGGCTCACTCTGATTTCTTCTATTTCATTTTTTTTAACGCACGTTGCTTGTCCTAGTAACCGTTTTCGTGACTCACCGTTAGACTGCGACCCACGGTGTTTCCCTGGAGGACACAGAATAAGGGACGTAGGGGTGGGCGAGGGAGCCGTGGGCGCCGGGCAGAAGGAGGACATGTACACAGGGGTCAGGGACTTGGAGCGTGGTCCCCTCTCAGGGGCATTACACAGCAGTGACGGTGGTTTCCGGACAGAATCACTCTTTTGGGAGCCAGGTCTTGTAATCATTCCCAGCACGGCCACCGTGGCTGATGGCACAGTCACTGTGAGGAACCACTGAGGCCACCATTCTGCAAGTAGTGAAGTGTCCCCCGCATCTGTGGGAGGGGGTCCTTCCCCACAAAAGGATGAGACTCTACCCTCCGCTCCCCAAACTGCCTGGTCGTGCCCTTAGGGAAACCAGTTTCCTGTGACATTTTCCAGGTACTGTGGGAGCGTCGTCAAGTCTTTTCTGTGTGTAAAAATGGCAAAGGGATGGTCGAAGGCTGCGTTGAGGGGCCCAAGCACTGGTCTGCAGATTGGGGAGGTTTACCCACGTTCTTGAAACACCCCGGTTTACCCACGTTCTTGAAACACCCCGGTTATGCTTGCACATTCCCCAGTTACTCATCCACAGAGTTAGCCCCACCTCCCTGCCTCGGCAGGGTGGTTGTGAAGATGCGGGGAAAGGGTAACGTGCAAGGCGGAGCCAGAAAGCCCTGAGCTGCTTGCTGTGTGGTGGCGTGACGTTGGCGGGAAAGCTGGGGGAGAGCGGGAGAGAAGATGGGGGAAGCCTTGTCTCCAGAGCTCCCTACAAAGACCACGTCCTGGGTCGTCATCTTTGAATGGTAACTCCAGTTGAACTTGCGGAAGTAAATTTATTTCTCCTTCCTTAGAACGCTGAATCAGCATTGCATAAAGAACTTGCAATATTCAAAATCCTGTGGCGGTCTCTGCCTAGCGCCAGGGGGCGGCCAGGGCCAAGTAACTAAGATCGGAGGGTGGTCATCTCTCTTTTCAGCTGCTGGTCTATAGCATCTTTCACTTAGGAGTCAATCTGCTATTTTTTCAAAGAAATCTTAAACTTCTTAAAAGTTGAGTTCACTTGGCTTTTCCAGTGTGTCTCCGTTAGAAGTGGCAGGGGGGACACTGCTCTAACAGGTTCAAGGACAAATGGGATGAGCTTGACAGATTAGGGATCCTGATTTCTCTCATCGCAAGGACGTGAGCAGAGAATTACTTTGTGGCATCTGCGCTCACTGTGAACTTATAGCCAAGACTCCCCTGGGTCCCACTGTCTGTAGACAGGTCTTTGTGGGTCCTCAAGGGTGAATGCTTTGTGGGACAGGGAGAAAGACCAGGGGATGTGAAGCAGGACCCTTTTGGAAGGATGTGGTTGATCTGATTGGTTTAGCATCTTTATTAAACACGTACTAGATTGCTCAGCCCAGGAAGAGATGGTCAGGCCAGTTTTTGGTAATGGTAGATTCTGTAGGCTTTCTGTGCTGTTTCATAAACAGTATAAAGGACTGCGGAATGTAGAAAGCTAAATAAATCCTAGAGGACTGGAAAAGGCAGCTAAAATAGGCCACGGCTATAAATTTCTCATAAGAGCTGTTGCATTTTGAGCCATGGGGCTTGTGGCGTCCGGCCAGGCAGAGGAGTGGCCGGGAGAGCTGCCGGCTGCAGAGCCACTCATCCAGGTGTATTTGTCCCCATCTAAGGCCTGATCTTCCAGCTCGGAACGCTGCCCCTTCCAGACACCTCATTTGTTAGAGCGAAGTCGTTAAACAAGTGGGCGGACTGAATTCCTTTATCCTCTCGAGGATGAATGAGATGCAGACCTCCAGAATAGACAGTATTTCCCTTACTAAGAAAACTTGGCTTATTTCCCAAACTCTTGCTAATGTGAGGGTCACGGAAGGCACAGGGGACCAGCTTCCCAGAGTTGACTTGTCTTAGGGATTCTGATTTAGGATAATAAAAACAAAAGACTGATTTAAAATGTAATAATTTAGAATCGGAAATGTAATGAGATGAACCAAATGTGTGGGCTGGACCTAGTAGGCAGGTTACACGGGAAGCGGGGTGGTTGGGAGGAGTCTTGATGGGCATCGTGGCATGGGAGGTGGGGGGATGAGTCAGATGTCCAGTGTGTTAGTGACAGACAGCAGACGATCACAATCTCATCCTTTCTGGGTCAGGAGTCCTGGGGCAGCTTCACTGAGTGCCTCTGACTCGGGGTCTCTCCCTAGCTACTCTCAGGGTACTGACCAGGGCTGGGGTCACCTCCAGGCTCAATTTGGGTGGATCTGCTTCCAAGCTGTCTCACTTGGCCGTTGGCAGAGATGGCCATTCCTTGCCACGTGGCCTCTCCACAGAGCTTCTCACAGCCGGAGCCTCTTTGTCAATGAGTGACACCACATGACTTTACCACTTTCTGTGCTTTAGACGAGAGTCACTGGGTCCAGCCTAACTCAAGGGGAGGAGGCTACACAAAAGGACTCGTACAGGGGGTGGGGTCATTGGGGGCCCTTTTAGGGCTGCTGGGCCCCTAGTAGCTTCTGGCTCTGGTGATGGAGCTCCCTCAGGATAGAAGGTGTTTCTGGGGGACTTTGGGCTTCTGTCAGCATGGTGGGCTGGCCTCCCCCAGATGGTGCTGGAACGGGCACTGCCAGCTTGTGGCTTTTGTATTTTCCCTTTTCTGTGGCCTCAGCCAGGGGTTTGTCTATTGGACCCTTGGCTGAGGGCGGTGAAGATCTAGGTAAAAATTATGTGCATGTTCTTGAGCATTTTCTAGAGAGAGGGTGTGTCCATAATGACCCTGAAAAGTTTAAAAACCACTGGTCTACGTTGACCTTGGACTTCCTGTTCAAGCTCGATTCAAACAAGATACCAGAGCCCAATTGATTACAGTCAGTAACTAATTGATCAATTATGCTGACATTGAAGATTATTAAGATTATTCCCTAATCCTAACCCTAACTCTAATAATTTTTTTAAAAAAAGATTCCCAGGTCACCTTGGCAGGCATTTTGGGTGTTATTAGATCAGCTTTTTCCCCATTTATACAAAAAGTTATCATAGGTGGGAGGAAATAACCCCCAAAAATGCCTTTTAGGAAAAAAAATGGTACAAAGCCCACGTTCTTGTGAAAAACAAAATCCTAACTGAATGTGGCTCTCGGGAACCCAGGTTTATGGCAAAAATCAAGCTGGCACCTCAGAAGGTGACATGTTGACAGAAGGGAAGACCCAGGACGTGGAAATGCAGCCCAGACCCTGGCGTCTGTGCATGTGACAACATCGCTGGGTCTTCGCATGCCAACCCTCGGGCCACTGAAATTCCCTGTGATACTGAATCATTCCGGGGTGGGGTCAGAGTTCACATATATTTGCCATTTCTACCTGCTTAGGCCTGAAAGTCATTTTAGAAACATTTCCATCCAAAGTGGCCAAATAATAGTACACACAAAGCATGTATATGTAAAAAGGTTGACACTTATTGGGAATTTATTTACATGGAACACATCATCCCCAGAGATCCCCAGGTTCACGAGACATTAACCACAGATGGTTTTCTCTTTTATGCACATGACTGTCCGGTGACTGACCTCTATGATATGACTGTCTCCTTTTTGGATGAGAAGAAAACTTCTCTAGGCCGTCCGTTAAAACAGAAGCTAAGACCTCCCTGATATTCATTAGAACGGGTTTTCCTTCAGATCGTACTGTAACTAGGTGTTTTCTTTTTAAGCCTCCCCTGCTGTTTTTTCCCCTTCAAACGTGTTTTTTAAAGGGTGTGATCAGTTTCTTCAGGAGGAAGTTATCGTAGAATATTTGGGGTTAAGAAGCTGAAGAGCGGACGTCTTACCTGTGCCCTCTCCCCCAACAGGCACTGCTGGAGTCCCTGGGGGAGAAGGGCCCTGTGTCCGTGGCCTGTGGAGGGGAGAGCCCGCTGGACGGCATCTGCCTCAGTGAATCAGACAAGACCGCCGTGCTCACCCTGATAAGAGAAGAGGTAAAGGCTTCCTCGCTGCGTCCACTTCTGGCTCCGTTTCTTTGTAAAGCCCGTGTGCCAGTGGGTAGCTTCCATCTCTGCTGGCTTGAGTTCTTTCTCCCCGGCTGGAAGTCCCTGTTTCCCCCACTTGTAGCTCGTATAAAGGGCTCCCTGTAAAACGCCTTGCTGGAGCTGGATTCCTGGCCTCCTGGTATGCAGAGGGCAAAGCTGACGCTTGGAAATATCCTTGAGAACTTTTGTACACTTCTTTATCTTTTAGCCCTGAAGTTTTTACATATCGCATTTTTCCAACTTTACCCACATATGTAACTAAATCAGCACCTTCATTTCACAGAGGATATATGCTCCTGCCTAAAAGTTTCTTAAATTCTAGACTTGCAGGAATGTAACATTGTTTCCTACCTTCATCCATTCTTTTTTTTCTTGTTTTTTTCCCTTTCAGAGTTATTTTATTCAGAAACAAGCAATTATAAATATATGTATCTTTTCTTCCCTCTTTTAGACAAATGGTAGAATACTACACATACCATTCTGTACCTTGCTTTTCTCACTTAAAAATACATCATGGTGATCATTCCATATTAGTATTTAATGCATGCTTGCTTCTTTTTCTTTTTATAAATTTATTTATTTATTATTATTTTTTTAAATTTATTTTATTGGTTTATTTTTTTGGCTGCATTGGGTCTTCGTTGCTGCGCGCGGGCTTTCTCTAGTTGCAGTGAACGGGGGCTACTCTTCATTGAGGTGCGCGGGCTTCTCATTGCGGTGGCTTCTCTTATTGCAGAGTACGGGCTCTAGGCACATGGGCTTCAGTAGTTGCAGCGCACAGGCTTCAGTAGTTGCAGCATGTAGGCTCAGTAGTTGTGGCGCACAGGCTTAGTTGCTCCGCAGGATGTGGGATCTTCCGGACCAGGGTTCGAACCCGTGTTCCCTGCATTGGCAGGTGGATTCTTAGCCACTGCGCCACCAGGGAAGCCCGCATGCCTACTTCTTTTTCACATCTGTATAGTGTCCCACAGCCAAATTGGGTCATTAGGGACTTAAGTTCTTGCCATTTCATCCTCAGTGTACTGGCCTGTCCCCTTCAATGTCATAGGTCAGCTCCCCTCGTGGTCCTAAGATGGCTGCTGCAGCTCCATGCTTCACACTGCAGACATCAATGCCTAGCATTAGAAAATGTCTAATTCTCGCCATTCACCTCTCTTTAGGAGCAAAGTCCTCTTTTTTAGGACTTTCCCAAAAATCCCCAGCAGACTTCCTCTCACATCTTAATGCCTATAATCCCTTCATCCATTCTTTAATTAAAGAACTCAACTCTCGAATCCCTGTATCGTGTTTATTGAACATCTTCTGTTCAAAATAGATCTCTGCTAGGCCTTTCCTGGGTGATCTGGAAAATATGAAAGATACTGTTAGGTACCATTAGTCAGTTACCTCCCTTCTCTGTTGTGTTTCTCTGCTGTAGTTTATGTGTTTGTTTTGTGTGTTTCTTGATGATTCCACCTTTTTTTTAAGAAGGTAATTCCCTCGGTGTAGCGACTTAATTTTTATAATATAATGAGAGTGGTTAAGTACCTCTGACCTAGGTCTTTCGAACTGTTAAAACATAGCAATAAGTTGGTAATGAGGGGTGTCAGCTAGTCCTGTTGTCAAAACTTAGGCGCTGTGGTAAGGAGGCCCCTACAAAATCCTGTAAATGAGAAAAATGGCTTCTTCTTTCTCCTGAGAGTTAAAACTCTAAGAGGACCACCAGCTGCATCGAAGATGTGCCTGATCCCCTGAAGCAGACAGGTTGGCTTCTAGTTCTTGAGACCCTGATTGATGGCACCAAAATAAAGATTGTACCAACTAGAAAGAAGCACAGAGAAGTATAATCACAGGAGAACGATAGGTGCCCATCTGAGCTCTGTGCAGGGCAAATGGCATTTGAGGCCGTGAATTTAGAGTGTTTCTTTCCAGTTAGCACGAGCCTTCCAAACGCAGCAATATGGGTTCTGGTCTGGTGAGTAAGATCTTGCCAACGGTGAGGTGGATGCCCCTGCCTGGAGGAACTTCGGGGCCCTATTCTGACTCAATCCGAAATCTCTGCAGAATGAGACTGTCTGGTCAGGCCAACTTCCACCGCTCTGATTTTGTGGCATTTTCATTTCTCAGCCTAATTAAATTGGTGCTCTGGCGTCTCCCTTGGTTAAGATGAGTCTCTGCCAGACAAATGTCTCAGCTGTTGGCGTCCTGACCCAGCAGGGTTCTGGACTGATAGCCAGACCCAGGACCGAGCTGGAGTTTACAGAGATGGTAATAACCACTTGCAGCTTTCCTGGGAGAGGTTCTGGTCACCTTCATCCTGGTGACCACGTTCCAGCATCCTCTGCAGCCGAGAGCATTTCCCCAGTGTTTGTGAGCATTATACACAGATGTTGAGGTTTTTTTTATTCCTAATGTAGGTTGACTGCCTTCAGATGGACCTGGTTATGTGTTGTTTTCAGGCTGTAGTCTTAAATTCAAGAGATTGAGTAGGTAAAACCAAGCTTTATCTCCGTTATAATCTAGATAATCACTAAAGAGATGGAAGCAAATGAATGGAAGAAAAAATACGAAGAAACCCGACAAGAAGTCTTGGAGATGAGGTTAGACTGGAGGTTTGGGGGAGGGGTGGGTACCTTTATGCATTTTTAGATTTAATACAAAGGAAGTGATGACAGTATTTGCTTACACAGAACCAGCTGTTGAGAACTCGAGGGCTTTGCTCTTTGCACTTTAATTTGTGACTGATGGTGTCATTTCCTGAGGATTGCAGACCAGTTATTGTATTCAAATGCTGTAGCTCATTTTGGGTTGTTCAGAACATTGCAAATAAACAGAACGCACATAATTCTTGTCTTTTGAAAAGACCAATTTGTGCAAAAATATCCATTTGATATTTGATATAATAACAGAAATACAGAGATTTATTGAGATACTCAATTATGGAAACACTATAATTTCTAAAACGAATTATACGTGGTAGCTTCAGATTTCACAACCACGAAATAGATTATAAAAAGCATGTTAACAGGAAACAAAACTGACTTTACACTGAAATCTTTTTATTTTTGCTGCTCACTCCCTAGAGTTAGGAGCTGTGAAATAACCAAAGATGGCATCAAAGAGTGGGGGGCATAAATAATTTATAAACTGTGCAGTCGGCACTTGAGTGATTAAGAAACACTTTAAATATGTCCACTCTAATTTGTGGCTCTTGTGTTATTTGGTTTTTTGAGCATTTACTGGGTGTAAGTCCCTGTGCTGGCATGGTGGGGAGGATGGCACGGCCCCTGACCTTGAGGAGCTTACAGCAGCCATCGTAAGAACTTGGATGCAGGGTCAGCGTGATGGGCGACACCCGTGAGGGGCGGGGGAGTGGTCACTTCTCACCATGGGGGATGAGGTCACAGGGAGGGGCACCCGTCACGGAGCAGGATCAGAAAAGCACTGCACTTCCCTAAAAGAAAGGTTAACACGACAGGGCAATCTTTAAACGTCTTTGAATAACTAAAATACTTCTGGAATTAGGACAATCAAATAAAACCCGGATCTGAATCAGGGGACCCACTACCTGTAAGAGTGGTTTGGGGCCAGGGTAAGCCTGAACCCGATCGGGTCAGGTCTCTTAGGAAGAGCCCCAAGAATGTCATTAACTTATTTTGTAAAAGATTCACTTCTCTAAGCAAAATTCACGTATTGCCTTGGGGTCATTCACACAAGTGCAAAGAAAAGGTGAAGGCAGTTGTTTCTATAAATAGAACAAAAATCTTGTTAAACAAAATCTCAAGAAAAACCTTTCTGAACATTAACAAATCTTAGGTTAAGCGTAAAAAAAGGAGAGCCCCAAAGCAGGTAACTGGCTTATGTAAGTTTGTCAGTACATGTTAATGTGTTTAATTGTTGGGGGCAGCGTTTCTCCAACTTCCATTGTTAATAAAATTCTCTTCTGATAAGAGTTTCTGTTTGTTTCTTTAAGGAAAATTGTGGCTGAGTATGAGAAGACCATTGCCCAAATGATCGGTAAGGAAGTTTTTTTCTAGGGTATGAGCCATGGGATCCAAAGGTGATCTTCAAATCAGAATCTGAACGTCAGTTTGTCCATCCCGGAGATACAAGCGATTCTTATTATTTGCAGTAGTTGATGCAGTTGCCCAAACACTGAATTAGCCGATACTGAATCATTGATCCTCAGGAAAGCTTGCCTTATGGGTGTTTCTGTCTAAAGACACCTGATTTAAGGTATACTGTTGACTCATTAACATTGAGCTCGCGGCCAGTTCATGCCAGTTCATGCCAGGACAGAGCTCATCTCACACGTGTTTTCCCCCTAAGACACCTCCAGCCCTGTGGCTCTTAGGACACGAGACAGCCCCGCAGCCTAGGCTTGGGGCCCATTTCAAAATCCTCAACAGGAAGCACAAAAATGCCAAAAACGTGGCCCTAAGTAGACTGAAAAGGACACTTGTTTGCAGTATGAAACGAGGCAGAGCACTGCCTTGTCCAGCTTCAGCCGAGAACGTGCCCGGCAGGTGACTCCAGTTCTCTGCCATTCCACGCGTGTCCCCGAATGGCCGGGGGCACACCACACATACTGATTTGGGGGCTACATATAGAAATAGCGAGCAGGGAATCTGCAGATAATGTGGATTACTGTCGTTAGGTTCCTTTTAGAGGACGGCAGACACTTGAGTTCCAGCACCAGGGTTGGCGGCCTCACCTCGTCCTTCATACCCCCGGGGGACATCTCTGCTCTGTGCAGCGGCCTCACTCCGCTGCAGGTGGTGCTTTCCCTGCGCCAGACCCATCGGCGCCTTTAGAAAAGGACAGCGCTTCACCCTCCTGCATTGCATTTAGAATCTCTTGTAGCCTCTGTTGTAAGGACCGACTCCCTAAGTCAGTCAGGTCTTTCTGCGTTAACTTAGGCGGCGAGATGATATTTTCTGCCGTCCGCATCACCTGATGCCTGGGTAGATGCACGGCTCACGCCCTCAGCTCCTCTGGGTCTCCGCTCCCATCTCTCGCAGAGACTGCTCACCCCTCTTTCCCCGCTGTGTTTCCCCTGCCCCGACCTGTCACCATGTCTCCCCCGCCAGAAGGTCAGTCCTTGAGGGTGGAACCTTTGTTACCTTGCCTGCTGGGTTCCCCGACACAGCGTACTGCCTGGTGGCTCGGGAGGGCGGCTGTGTGCTGTGTGTTGAGAGAACGTGCGTTGCTTCTGATCATGACTCACAGAAGATGAGCAGAGGACGAGTATGACCTCTCAGAAGAGCTTCCAGCAGCTGACCATGGAGAAGGAGCAGGCCCTGGCCGACCTAAACTCGGTGGAAAGGTCCCTCTCCGACCTGTTCAGGAGATACGAGAACCTGAAAGGCGTCCTGGAAGGGTTCAAGAAGGTAGCCCGTCCTTTGCCTTCTGCCTCCCTGGTGGTGTGTCTTCTTGGTAATGGGTCTTCAAATGCACGTGCCAGAGGTGCAGGTGGCCTAGAAACAGGGAATCGGAGCCCCTGGGTGGCGTGTCTTGGTCATTCCTCTCCTGGGTCAGGTCAGGAAGCCTTGGACACGACCAGAGTATGGCACGGAGAGTAAGAACCGTGGGACCCTCAGACTTAGGAGAATTCTAGAAATGTTCTTTTTGATTATTCACCAATTTAATGTTAGTAAAAGTAAAAGGGAGTCAAGCCATAGCACTGAAAAATACAGGCTGCATATTCTGGAAGAAAGTAAGTGTAAAGTTTCAAATTTAGTGTAAGTGGGCATATTGATTTGATTTGGTTGTACACCGTCACTAAGACACATTTATAGCAGTGAACACTCTTTTTTTTTTTTTTTTCATATTAACCATAAAAATGACTGTCCGGTTTGTCTAAAATGGGGATCAGATTGCCCTTCAGTTTTGAATATCTGCCCTTCCTAAAGCAGGTGTGTCAGTGTAACTTACTGTATGATTTGAAAGTTAATACATGAAGTTATCTACAGTTTCTTCAGTGAGAATTATTTGTGCCTGTTTCAAACTACCATGGAGTCTTATTTGGAGGCATCTGAATGTATTAGGTTTTTTCATTTTTTTTTTAAATGAAAACCCTGATATGTGGTATGTTACTAGTAGAAGGAAAACAAAATGACTTGTTTCTTTCATTTTAAATTGTCACTTGGGAACAGAATGAAGAAGCCTTGAAAAAGTGTGCTCAGGATTACTTAGCCAGAGTCAAACAAGAAGAGCAGCGGTACCAGGCCCTGAAGATCCACGCGGAGGAAAAACTGGACAAGTGAGAGCTTGTGCATGAGAATTTCACTTTTCGTGATGTGGTGGGAAGATTGACAGATGAGAAAAAAGAAAAATTGCTACTTTGCAATTCCAGGTTGCACTTGTGTGTACCTGGGTGTCTTATTTAGTTTTTTGAATGGGTGGACTCTTCACAAGGTTCAGACATTAAAAAGAATAAAAAGATACAGTGTCTCCCTCCCACTCTCTCCCCCTCCCAATGGGTTCCCACCTCTTTCCTCACCCCAGGAAATCGTTCTTTTATCCTTCCAGACGTCCTTTTTCCCCTTCTTTTCCCCCCACCCCAGCTGTATTAAGCTATAATTGACATAAGACATTGTGTAAGTTTAAGGTGTACAACACTGATTTGATACATTTACATACGTATCACCATAGAGTTAGCTAATGCGCCATCATGTCACATAATTACCATTTTTTAAATGTGAGAATCTCCTTTTTTAATGGAGATTTTTAATTAATGAAGTCGCTTATAGGTCTGTGTTTCATAGATGCCAGTGGTTAGTATCCTGACTCATTGGCTGTGTTAATCCACAGAGATCCTACCTGTTATTGTACTGGGTTAAAAAAAATCTAAGATTGTTTTAGAAACTGTCGTGTGATTCTGTTTTCTGGTGGCATGTGAATGTTGAAGGGTCCCGTGTGCCTTTAAGGTTGATTGTGCCATTGGTTTGCATCATGGAAATCTCCTTAGCAGTTGTGTGTAAATTGAATTTTTATAAATTAAAATTGAATTATATAGCTCACCAATTCCTCTTTTTCCTCTATGGTGGAGTCAGTTCTCCTAGTTCTGTGTCACAGGTGTCAGCGGTTAGCATCCCGATCGTGAGCCACGACTGATGACAGACCATGTGCTTTTTGTCCCTTCGTTCCATAAACAGAGCCAATGAGGAGATTGCTCAGGTTCGAACAAAAGCAAAGGCTGAGAGCGCCGCTCTCCACGCGGGGCTCCGGAAAGAGCAGATGAAGGTGGAGTCCCTGGAAAGGGCCCTTCAGCAGAAGGTAAGAGGGGACCCACCGAGACCTTTGTTTTTCCTCCTCGGCTGCAGCTCCCATATCATCTGGATGAAAGGGGCTTATCTCTGCGCAGACGCTTCACTCCAGCTCCTTTGGGAAGTGACTCAGGTGGCAACAGATACTCCCAGGTGTATTAGTGGGACCTGGCCACAGGCAGGGTACAGAGAGGAGGTTGCATTAACTGAAGCTCAGAGGACCAAACGCTTAGGCTCCGAAGCTACCGTTTTTCTCTTTCTGTTTTGTTTTTTTCTGTAAAATAATATGTGAAGCCATCTTCCCCCTTCATCGCAATTTTCCCCTCCAGGGGGACATTTGGCAACGTCTGGGGGTATATTTGGTTGTCACGACTGGGAGATGTTACAGGCATCTAGTGGGTAGAGGCCAGAGATGCTGCTAAACACACTATGGTGCACAGGATGCACCCCACACCAAGACTGGCCCTGCCCAGATGTGGTTGAGAAACTCTGCTACAGAAGTAAAAACCTGTGGTGACAACGATCCCCATTCTCTTGCTAATTAGTGACTCTTAGACTTCATTTTCTGTGCCTCTAGTGTTTTTCTTACTGTGTCTCCAATCATGTTGTCAGGCCTGTGGCATCCATTCAGCCAGGGCAGGGGTTTTTATCATGGCGCCTGATAACCCCTAAGACAGTGGCCCCTAGGATACTTAGACTCTGGAATCTCAGGTCCCTGGGGATGCTCATGGATCAAGTGAGGCCCAGATACTTTTTTTTTTTTTTTACAAATACCCCCAAGTAATTCCTATGATAGCAAGGAAGTTTGACAAACTTCAAGGACAGACTTCAGAGGGCCAGTAATTACCCTTACCCCCTACTCAAAATAAGCATAACTTTGTGAACACAGGACCATTTCTCAGGGGAGAAGGTATAGAGCTTTCCTTTCTTTAAAGGGTTTCTGATGTAGAAAAGTTAAGAACCACTGAGTTGGGGTGCCTAGGGAGGAGTATAGCCAGTCTGGGGACTATTTCACTGTGATCCGTTATCTCGGGACACAGACTGCATCATCACATCATTTATCTTTCAGAACCAAGAAATTGAAGAACTGACGAAAATCTGTGACGAGCTGATTGCAAAGCTGGGAAAGACGGACTGAGTTTCCCCTATTAGCTCAGCAGATCTGCATTTGGCTGCTTCTCTCGTGACCACGATTATCTTGCCTTATCCAGGAATAATTGCCCCTTTGCAGAGAAAAAAAAAAACCCACGGAACTTTACAAAAGCACATACCTACCGCTGCCTGTCCCGCTTTGCTGCCGACGCACCCACCCGGGAAGCGCCACTGGAGGATTTACTGCGCAGCCGCTGAAGGAGTGGCCTGACCGACCTGTCGGGCTCAGTGAGACGGGCTGCCCAGTCTGGGCGGGATTCTTTATCTTTGGTTTGTTTTAAAGTCATCTTTACTTACCCCAGGTGTGTTCAGTGTATGATTTTATGGTTACTATTTGGGACCATATCCTGTCCACCACCTGTCTGGTTTTTTTTTTAATTTATTTCATCTTTTACATTTAATTTTCAATATTAGTGGTTTTATTTGAGGAGAGAATTTGGCCTATTGTTACTTCCAGTTGAGTACCCACTTATACACACGCGCTCTCACACGCACGCACGCACGCACGCACGCACGCATATTTATATATGCTGCTGGGTTTTGTTTTGTTTTTTTTCCCTGAAGCATAATCAAATAAGAACTTCTCTACAGAAGGGCATATTTCCATACATGTAAAACCCCATTTTGAAACAGAGTCCTTTCTCAGAATGCCAACTTCAGAATTTGGGGGGTTGGGGAGGTGAAGCCCCCAGACTCCATGTCTGGCGTGACTCATAACCTCAGACTCAGGTGTCACATAAGGGAGACTGTTGGCCGTAGTGTCCTGTTGCCCCGTATTTGGACGCTCCTCAGCCTGGATGCAGGCGGCCCCTCTGGAGTTAGTCCTCAGGCCCAGGGCATCTACCTTGTGGGATCCCTCACAGCTGGGGTTCGGCAAGTCTGTCCTAGAGCCGCCAGTCTCCTCCGCTTACATTTGTTGCTCCAAGATGACGTTTGCTCTCTGTTATCTATTTGGAATATGCAAAGGAAGTCTGCTTCTCAAGGGTTTAGATGATCTTATTTAATTAACCCCATTAGCAATCGTAAGGTGAAGCAAAAGTTGGATTTTTCCAAGTGTGGTGCATCGTTCTTCAGACTTTTTTTCCCCAAAGGCAAAAAAAGAAAAACTTGCAAACTTAAAGATAGTAGAATTTTCAACCAAATGGGCAGGAAAAATCGTGCAAGCCACTCCAAAAATCAGTGCATTTTGAATATTTTTAAACCAAGGTCATTCGAAGACTGGAGGAGGGGAGTGCAGGGAGCAGATCCCACTCACAAAACCAAATTCCTCAGGCCGTTCCTGGGCTCCATTCAGAGTGGCGGGGCCCTTAACCCCCAACTGGAAATTTCCCGTGTGAACCCCTCCCACTTGATAGGCGAAACCAAATCCACACAAGTGTTTTAAAGCACTCTTTTGTCTTAATCTGAACACCCTGAGCGTCTTCACGGTGATACGCATTATCTACAGTACACGTAAGTTTTCGTACTTTCCTTGTAAAACTACTGCATGACCCAACTTCAGCAATGAATTGTGCCTCGTGGAGACCTGCTCTAGCTCTTTCGAGATAACTTTTTCTTTAGCCGTGTACTGTTCACACGGTTGCAATCTTTAGCTCCAGGGAGGTCAGTAATGTCTTTTAAAGCCAGAAGTCCTGTTTAACCGATATGCATTTCTCACAATTGGTGCTTAGGCTGTATTTTAAAGCCTACCGTCTTAACATTTTGTACAAAAACAACAACAACAACAGAACAACAGAAATGATCTGTGTTTGGAGAAGTGATGTGACAATCATTTGGGCCCTGAAAGCAGTCACGGGTTTGACATGAGTGCCCTGCTACAGCCCTGTCCGTGGAGGAGCAGGTGTCTCCAGGCAGTGTGACTGCGGCCTCTTTCAATCCTCCACGACTAGAGAAACTCATTTTGCGTTTTGCAGAAAGAAACGTTGCTAAACCTTTTTGCTGCTGTGTTTTGGTGACATATCCATGTTTACCTGTTTTGTATTGCTCTGTTTGACGCATGAAAGGCTTAGTATAGGGGTCTCTGTTATAAACCTACAGTCCTCTCTTTTAGGCTTCTTGTGTATAAAAAGAGAAAGTAGCTGTGTGTTGAAACAGAGGTGATGACAGTCTTTCCCAAGCACACTGGTGAGAAGAGACCCCTTAAAACTAGACCCTAGAGAGTAAAGTTGCTGCACAAGGAAAACGAAAGGGTCCTTATTCAGTAATACTTGCCACTGGCCTCTCAGCTTTGAGCATTACAAGGAAATGGTCTTCCTTCTAATTTAATAGATGGATTTTCTCCAACAAGAAGAAAAATGTAGCTTGTACAGCTGGCAGATCAAGAGAATACACTGGGCAGAATGAAGTATGTTTGTTTATTTTTTAAAAAACATAAGGGGTAGAAAGAAACTTGTAGTAATCTGGAGAGTAAGAACGTGGCCTAGAATTTTGCTTCAAAACATGGGCGGGGCCAAGTTACTCGTAAGCTAGACAGTAATACTCCCTGTGACAAACATGAAGGGAAAGTGAGAGGAAGCCACTGGCCTGGACGGTGGTTTGGGAACATGAGTGGTCTTGTTGAGGCTCTGGATCCAGAGCCACATCCTAAGTTTTTCATTTTGCCAAAGTATAGGTAGACAGTCTTTACCTACAAGTGTTTTAATTGGAGGATCTATTGGAAGACAGACTGCACAGTTTGTCACTTGGTTGGCTAGTCATTTACAGTCAGACCTCCCCAAATTTACTTTATTTGGAGACACTCCTGGAAGCCAGTGACCTGCCCAGACCTTCTGTGAAACCGTCCTGGAAACACCGAGAAGCCCAGTTTGCTTGCGTGGCTTCTAGCATCTTCAGACCCAGCCCAAATTAGGAAGTATAGAAGCACGTGATGGTGAAAACTCTGAGGACCTGGCAGCCTTCCAAACTGATACAGAGTCCAAGGGAGGATTTACCTTTCGTTTTGGAGGATGGCTCAAGTTGAATCTTCTTTCCAGCCAGTTACCTTTTTTTTTTACCCGTCCCACACTTTCTGCAACTCTCACACAAATACTTAGATACTTCAGTACCGGGCCTTGGATTCTTACTGACTGATTATAATCCAGCAGAGTAAACTGCCCCAAATGTCCCTGGGCTGACTCAGTGCAGCCAGAGTGAAGCATTTTACTGAATGTTACTTTATGAAAGCATGTTACTTTCATTTTGCTGAAAGGTAACGGAGGACTTGATGGCTCTAAAGCTCAAAATGGAGTTGTGATGAGCAGGCAATGGTGAGTCTGCGTGCACTAACTGGAAATGATTCAGCACGTCCTTTTTTAGTGGAGCAAAATCCCTTTGTTTTCCTTTTGGTTTTTTGCTGCAGTTGGTAGCCATCTCATGAATTGTCCACGACCGGTGTCTCTTCTTTGTAGTTTTGTGACCATGCAGGCTTGCTCTCGGACTTGGGTGGTTTCTTACTTTATCCTCTTGTTGGGAAGAGAGAAACTAGGTGTTTGAAGGATTAAATGATTCAAGCAAAGTGTTTTAGGGTAAAGATGTATATATTCTGAAGAATTTAAAAGATAGATTATTATTTGCTTATTAGAGAACAAATAACAGTCTGGGAATCCCAGAAAGTCAAGCCAAAAGTCTGTAGGGTCATCTTCTTCAAAGATTTCCATAAAGAAGTATTTTAAGGAGACTTCTGTCTAAAAAGGTTTGACTGGCCTCCAGATTCCAGTGATTTGAAGAAAGCATCTTATCACTCAAACCTTGAGTCTCCCATGTAGTAAAGGCAAAGGAATGGTCATGATAGGTCCTTCTGTCTAAGGATCTCCTCTGGAAGATTGTATGAACAACAATTTCCAGCGAAGACCCACCCCCTAGTGCCCAGAGTTAGCATTCTGGAGACTAAAGATTGCACTTTCCATAGTTTTTTCGTCCAAATGCAATCCCATTTCTGTGCCTCTTAGCATGCAGTTAGATTTGGACAAGCAAGATTCCTAAGGAATGACTTCATTAACTATAATATGGTTACAGCTACTACATATATATATACACACATATATATACACACTCTCGTTATAGTTGTACTATGGAGATGTCGCGTGCAATGCTGGCCTGTGACGGTCCGTCTAGCGCCCTGACTCAGCCGGCGGAGACCAGGCCTGGTGCTGAGGTGTGGTCTGAACCTTCCCTGTATCCATTCATCACTTTAGAACCTTGAAGATGCCACTTTCTGTCCCTCTGCCTTTTAGCGGCATCTGAAATCTCCACAGAGAATCTCCCAGTCATGTTGTTAACTGATGCTCTGTGAATAATTTTCAAGGGGACATATAAAAATACGAGCTCCAAAACCAGCCCCCGACCCAGTGCAGGAAGGTCTGCAGATTTCACACTCTCAGCCTCAGGCTTGGTCCTTCCCACCCAGTGAGCCAGGATCCAGGCATTTTTTTGAAATCTCAGAGGTAGCAGCAACCTTTTCAGTGTCGCTTTTAGCAAGTGTGTGTTTGCCAATAGATACCCCTGTGTACTAACGTGCCAACAAGTAAATGTTAATTAATTGCACATCTGCTTCCACTGTGTCCCCACGGGTGCCACAAAGTGTGTGAGGAGCCTCATCCAGAGGAATCTAACGCTGCATTGACTACTGCTATCAGGATTGTGTTGTGTGGAATAAATCATCTACATAAATTTTATATGCACAAGTAATTTCCCTTTTATATGTCAGGTAAATATTTGTAAAAGTTATACTCACACAAATGAAATTATTATAATGATTACTAATATATTTTTTCCATGTTTCATTGCCTGAATAAAAACTGTTTATCACTGTTAGATGTGGCTGTGTGGAGACTTTTTTTCCCTGGTTATAAGTCACTTTATCGCCAAATGTGAAAATTCATGACAGCCTCACTTTTATGGGCTCCATATTTCAGTCTAAAAATACAAAAGATGACATTTTCGCTACATTCATTTCGTGGGATTTTATGCATTTGGTTAGGTGTGTAATTAAAAACAAAACAAACTTTGGAATTCAGACCTTGCCACATAAATTTCCAGGCCTTTGCATCTGTGCAAACAAAGTATTTAATTGGGTGCATCTTGGTTTTGCTTAACAGACTGCTTGTCTGCCTTGGCATATTTCAAGTCGTAAGAACCTCAATCACCCCAGGCTTTCCGACACTTGACTGGACACAGGACCAGCCAGAGCTGTGTAAACATCGCAGCGCGGCCACAAAACATAGTTGACGTTTTATGTTACTTCTAGGTTAATACCAGGAAAAATGTTTTCAGTACTAACCAGGCCAACTCTCCACTTAAAGGGTAGGAGACTGGTCAGGAAATGTCATGTGTT